TCCCAAAATCAGTCTTATTTTATTTTATTTTTATTTATTTTTGAGAGAGAGAGTGTGTCAGGGAGTAAGCAGGGAAGGGGCCTAGAGAGAGGGAAACACAGAATCTGAAGCAGGTTCCAGGCTCTGAGCTGCCGGCACAGAGTCCTACATGGGACTCGAACCCACGAACTGGGAGATCATGACCTGGCCAAAGCCAGAGGCTTAACCGACTGAGCCACCCGGGCGCCCCTTATCATTTTTTTTTTTAATGTTTATTTATTTTGAGAGAGAGAGCGAGCAGGGAAGGATCAGAGACCGAGGGAGAGTGAGAATCCCAAGCAGGCTTTGCACTACCAGCATAGAATCTGCCATGCAGGGCTCAAACCCAGCAACTGTGAAATCACTACCTGAACTGAAAGCAAGAGTCAGATGTTTAACTGAGCCACCCAGGTGCCCCAGTCTTCTTCTTAAGTCCCATAATTAGGCACAGTGGACACAGATTAAAATGCAGAAGAAGGCCATTGTGGGTGCAGAAAATATATCCTCTTACTTCTGCAATAATCTTTCCATCTTGCCCCAAGGTTTCAGACTTCCATCAAAAAAATGTCTTCCCAGGAGCACCTGAGTGGCTCAGTCAGTTGAGCACTTCTGAGCTTTGATTTTGGCTCAGGCAGTGATCCTGGGGTTGTGGTATTGAGTCCCGCATCTGGTTCCATGCTGAACGCTGAGCATGGGGTGTGCTTGAGAGTGTCTCTCTTCCTCCTTCTGTCTCTCTCCCCTGCTCACGAAAGCTCTCTCTCTCTCCTCTAACATAAAAAATACAACTGCTAAAAAAAAAAAAAAAAAAAGTCTCTTCCAAGGGGCACCTGGCTGGCTCAGCTGGGAGAGCATGAGACTCTTGATCTTGGGGTCTTGAGTTTGATCTCCATGTTGGCTGTAAAGGGGCACCTGGGTGGCTCAGTCGGTTCAGCATCCGACTTCAACTCAGGTCATGATCTTACAGTCTGTGAGTTCAAGTCCTGCGTTCAACTCTGTGCTGACAGCCTGGAGCCTGCTTTGGATTCTGTGTCTCCCTCTCCCTCTGCTCCTCACCCTCTCATGCTCTGTCTCTCTCTCTCAAAAATAAACATTTAAAAAATTTTTTAAATAATAAAAATAAAAAAGAAACGAAAAACCTCTTCCAAGAATCCTGCAGTATTCACTTGTTCACTTGATACATTTCTCAACTCTTAGGGGCTGAGTTTTGCCCACAGTTGATGTTGCAAAGTAGACTTTGCTTTAAGTTCCAAAATGTGTATGTGTACCGGTAGCTAATGAATTCTCATATTTAAAAAAAAAAAAAAAAAAACATTTGGGAGGCTTTTTCTTTTCTTTTTTTTAACATTTGTTTTTTAGGGGCACCTGGGTGGCTCAGTCAGTTAAGCGTCTGACTTCGGCTCAGGTCATGATCTCACACTTCGTGGGTTCAAGCCCCGCATCGGGCTCTGTGCTGACAGCTCAGAGCCTGGAGCCTGTTTCAGATTCTGTGTCTCCCTGTCTGTCTGCCCCTCCCCTGTTCATGCTCTGTCTCTGTCTCAAGAATAAATAAACATTATAAAATTTGTTTTTTATTTTATTATAGTAATTTCTACATCCAACATGGGGTTCAAACTTAGGACCCTGAGATCAAGAGTTAAATGTTCATCTTTTTATTTTTATTAAAAAAAAATTTTTTTTAATGTTCATTTATTTTTGAGAGAGAGAAAGAGTGCAAGTGGGGGAGGTACAGAGAGAGGGGAAAACACAGACTCTGAACAGGCTCCAGGCTCTGAGCTGTCAGTACAGAGCAGAGCCTGACCTCATGAACTGCGAGATCAGATGCTCAACCAACTGAGCCACCCAGCCACCCCAAGCGTTACAAGCTCTATGGACTGAGCCAGCCAGGTGCCCCTGAATTACCATATTCTGATGTTGCTTCCTAAAGAACCACTTCCCAGCCTCAGGGATTCTCTTTTTTGACCCATCAAACTGTCCTTGGAGATTTCCCTAACCTCTATCACTGCTGCTGCCAGTGAATCAACACTTCTAGGCCTTTCAAGCCTCAGGCTCCCATTCACTGTAGAAAGCCCATTACCGCCAAGGGCTGTTCCCACTAGCAGACACCTTCCTCCCTCTTCCATGCCCCAGCCCTCTAAAAATGTAATCAGCAATAGCCTCTGATGTGATCATTTTTCTCCACTATTGGCTGCACATTAGAAACACTCAGACAGCTTTACTTCCATACAATGCCTTAGCCCACTCCCAAAGATTCTGACTTCTGGTGGAGGCCTGGCAGCAGTATTTTTTTAACTTCCCCCACTGATTTTAGTATACCACTAAGTCGGAGAAACATGTTTCCAATAGCTTGCAGCTACTTATTCCCTATCTTACCTGCCAGGTTACAGGAAAACAAAAAACAAACAAAAAACCCCTAACAAACCCAATTTCTGCTGCTGCTGCTGCTGCTGCTGCTGCTGCTGCTGCTGCAGTTAAAACTACATTTACCATATTCTATGATAGGAAGCTACAGTGTTATAGTTCATCTATTTTTCTGAGCAAAGCAAGCCTTTGAGAATTGGCCCAGGAACTAAAATAACTTACTATATTCCATTTCCTTTACAAGCTTTCAAGGAGAGCTTCCTATATTTTGTAATTCCTAAAATGTTTGATTTTCCCAGAGGGTGCAGATTTATTGAAAAACAGAACTTGAGCTTCAATTTGTTTTTATTTTGGAGTAGTTTTTTCCAGGCTCAGTTTGGGGGAGGTAGAGGTTGAGATTCTATCAGGCTGAAGAAAATGTTAAGGACATCTAACTGCTCTGGCAGGAAGAACCCCCTGGGGAAGAGCTTGTAATGGGAAGAAAGCCCATTTCCTTGATCTTCCCAGTTGTATCCTGTACCCAGCTTTCATATCCTTCTCCTTCTTAATTAAATTTGATCTTACTTTAAATTCCTCTGGTTTTGAGATTGTCCATAAAAAGGACAAAGAGGTTACTGATTGTTAAAACTAGGGTAAAACCATCACTTAGAACCGGACAGGAACCCAATGCCAATGGTGTTCAGGCAGTGTGGAAAAAAACCAGCATTTGTTGCTAATTTTGCCCTGGATGTAGTTGAGGTGACCACTCCCACATGCTAATCTATGAAAAAACTTTAGGACACCTGATTTAGAAGATGGCGAGATAGAAGTTACTGAAGATTACTGGGGGGAAGCACAGAACTTGCCTCATTATAGATGAAGTTATTTAGGGTGACCGTGGGGTGGTCTTGAGCCGACAACCAAGAAAGAATTCTTGAAGAGGACTTTGGTGCAAAAAAGGTGATTTTATTAAACCATGGGGACAGGACCTATGGGCAGGAAGAGCTGCACTGGTGCCCTGACTGGTAACATTTTATATCCTCAGGTTGGGTGGGGGTCAGGGATAGAGTAAGTCTCTAAGAATTTTGGAAGCAAGGTTTCCAGTACCTTGAGGGACTAGCTGTTGCTAGGGAAATGCCATTTATTACCGCTTAATAAAACCCCAGTCAAGAGACCATTCAGATGTATATGGGGGGGTGGGGGGCATAAGCTTGGAATATGATTCCCAGCATATATCTTGGGGCAGTTAAGATAAAGGAAGTAGACTTACAGGATCCTTGAAGTTGGGATAATGTTAAGCTAGAGTTCTCTTTCGCCCCCAGCAAAGTGTTATCATTGAGGCAAGTAGTTCCTAGAGACATGTGACTCTGCAAGTTTCAAGGACTTGTTAGTTTCCCACATTACCATGGCAAGCACTTTCCTTTGTTCTCAGGTAGCCAGGAGTGTCTGAGGGGTATCACACATATTCCACCTGGGGAATGGAGTGTTGTGTGCCAGCCTGTATTTTGCCCTCAGTTTGCCCCAAGCTTCCTCATCAATTGTCATGCCTCCCAAATCCTCAGAATCTTGGTCTTCATGCGCTTGATAACTGCAGCAAGGATGACCATGGCAAAAAATGTTACTGGTCTATGCCACGTTTCTGCTCAAAATGATTTAGATCTTTAAAAGTGAAGTTGTACTGGGGGTGCCTGGGTAGATCAGTCGGTTAAGTGACCGACTGCAGCTCAGGTTATGATCTCGAGGTCTGTGGGCTGGAGCCTCATCAGGCTCTGCACTGATAGCTCAGAGCCAAGATCCTGCTTCAGATTCTGTGTCTCCCTTTCTCTCTTTCCCTCCCCTGTTCGCACTCCATCGCTCTCTCAAAAACATTTAAGAAAAAATTTTAATTTAAAAAAAGGGAGGTCACATTAAGGAATCTACTGAAGTCATTGCTTCACTATATACTAATTTGGATGTAAATTTAAAAAAAATAAAAAATAAAGTTAAAAAAAAGGGAGGTCATTCTGACAAAATATTTTAAAATGAGACAACCCAAATCGAGGTTAAATAATTTACACTTGGTCACCCAGCTGGCATTTACAGCCCTAGAGTGTGAATCTGCATCTCATTTTTGCTGTTTTGCACACCTCTAAAATAACTTATAACTTAAATAAAAGACTAAGACTCACAGTTCAGAAGTGACAAATTAAGGGCTCTGCACACGTTAAGTGTGAGAGTAAAGAACCGTGAACATCTCTCAACAGTGCCTTTAACCCAGAAGTTCTCCCCAAAACCATTTTTGCAGCTCCCATCCCCTTTTCTCCTAAAAAAAAGTGTCACCCACAAAAATGGGCAGCTGAAATTTTGTTTTCTAGCACAGATATAATTTAAAACCTACAATTAAGTCTTAAAATAAATAGCCAAAGTCACAGCTCCTCATACTGTACCTCTCTTCAGAAGTACTGTATTTTTCAGCCTATGAAATTCAGACATTCCAAGAAAGGTCCGCTATCCCCCCTCAAATAAAAATAGACTTGTATTTGTAACATTTTATTTTTCATCATGAAGTATACAAATTGTTTAAAAAAAAAAAAAGCCATTCCATGACTTCCGGTGTTTACAAAGCAAAATTGGACAGAGGGTGGCAGTGTTTGCTCATTTTACAGAGGAGGGGAAAAAAAGCACCAACTTACTTTCAAGGCAAAAACTCTACTAAAAACACTAGTATATCACAAGGAAATAATAAAGACAAACATTATCAGGTTACAACCTAACTTTAGAACAAATTGAAATAACAGAAAACTGGAAGTAGGAAAAAATACAGTGTGATAGCAAGGTCCTCAGGTCACCTCGACTTGGAAAGAAATATGAGTCAGGAAGGTAAGGATCCTAATCCACCTCCTCAATGGTGGGGCCTGACCCAGAGCCCCCTCTGGGGGCCTGAGCCCCAAAGCCACCAGCCCCAGGGCCACCCGCCCCCTGGTACAGTCCGCTGATGATGGGGTTACACACCTGCTCCAGCTCCTTCCT